AAAAAAAAAAAAAAAAAAAAAAAAAAAAAAAAAAAACTTGCACAAACCCAATGAATTGCCTTTAAAATGCTGTATACAGTGTACATGTATTGATACGAGTTCAACACAATGTACCTGTGTCAGCTAAATGAATAAAATGGTAAAAGGGGTACTACAGGCCTACAAACTGCCTAACACTGATATGGGCACTCTTTGTTCTCTACCAGAGGTCACCTGAGTGATGACGTCAATTGCAATTCTCTGAAAAAGTTCTTATAATACAGAAAAATGCACAAAAAGATATCTATGAATTTGATGAATATCTAGCGGGAAACGATCTGCCCTCGTGGAGGACAGCTCCTAGATATCCTCGAATATTCTTAAGCCGAGGTTTAGTTCACCATCAAAAGAAAGATCAAGAAAAACCTCCCGGATTGCTGGTCTTGTGGCACAAAACACAGAGACCACTGACGCGATAAAATCGTTCTTTTTCTTCTTCTATTTTGCTCAAAATCAACACCGCTGTAAGCATTATTTTCTTTCTGCTTTTGGAATTGAATAAGTTCAGCTGGGGTCACATTACAAAAGGTTCCATTGTGCCGTTTGACAAAAGTATCACTAGGCAGAATAAACTGGTGCGTATTTGCTTACCTCCCCAAACAGCAACCCTAAAAGAATTTAAGTAGCAAAAGCACTAGTATTTTAGCAGGCACATAAACTAGGACTTGTATTTGGAACGTAAGAGAGAAGATTACTTTTTTGAAGAATCAGCTGCATTTAGAGCATAGTGGAGTATAATATCAGTCTGATAAGTTATCCTAACTCCGGTTGGAGGCTAATTTTAAAATACTGAAATTACAGATGTGCAGAATTAGTCACTGAGAACAGAAGACTTCTCAGGTAAACTATCAGGTTCAGTTTTAACCGTTTACAAGATAATCGGAAGATTTCGTGCTATGTAATGTTTTTTTTTAATACGTTCTTTGCTGCAGTCTCTCCATATGTTGTTGATGTGTTTTCTTCCCGTCCACTTCTTTCTGGTGGCAATTTAATTACATTGCATTGTATTAAATTCCAGATTAGGTAGGAAAAGACGTCTAAGTGACAGGTACCATGGCAACAGCAATTGGAACGGACACGGACCAGGAGAATTACTTTCGCATGACCATTCTAATTGTAAATTATGGCGTGCAAATATTGCGAGATGTTCTCCATCTACAGCTAAGAAAAAAGTATCCCAATTTATTTGACCCCAACACAGGGTTGCTGAATAAGGTGCTTGGTGATGCAACTGTCAGGGCAACACTGTTTAGATTATCACCAAGAGTGTTTAATTACTACCAACAAGACAAACTCTATCCTGTTGGAAAGCCTTCCACATTAGTAACTGTTGGTGGTTTAGACATCACACTGACTGTGCTTTTGCTGAGACACATCACAACATTGAATCCTCACCCTCCGTTGAATGCATGGAACGAACCCCTTGACACAGACACATCAACAGAGGCCAAGATAGGGCGAGTTAAAAGATATAGGAATAATGTGTATGCTCACGCAGAAAAGGCAGCAATCACTGAACAAGATTTCAGGGCATATTTCTCGGGGCTCAAGTCCAATCTCCAGGCTCTGTCTGGAAAGTTCACTGATGAGGAATATGATGATATATTGTCAGAACCACTCGATGCTGGTTTACTTAAGAGAAACGAAAAAATTCTTAAAGAATGGTATTATTATGACAAAGATGTGAAAGATGAGTTGTTAAGCTTGAAAGCTACAATGGAGGAAATACCAAAGCAACTTAGCCACATAGAAAAGGCTCAAAAAAGTAGTGAAGACACTGTTATCAGAGAGATGAGAAGTGAAACACAGAGTACACACGATAAACTCGAGAAAATTGGATTGGCACTAGAAAAAAACGTTCAGATGACAGAAGGTAAGGATTTTATCATTTTAGGTGTTGTCTTCAAACTCTGTAAATTACACAATAAAATGTACTTGTGGCTCACATTTGGTTTTCAGGAGTGACATAATTTTAAACATTTTCTAAGATGTGAAGAAGAAAAAAGTAGTGAAAGAGAAATTAGTAATGGTTATTAAAAGATATTTAAAATTAATCATTTGATTTATTATGCCCAAATGTTACATTTCATTTTGTTTTGTTTACAGAAATTAAGGAAAAATTTGAGGTGATTTATGACAGGGATCGAGACAGACCAGAAAGTCAGAAAATCCAAGGTAATGTGCTGTAATAAACTCCATGTACAGGGAACCAGATACATCTATGCACGGGGACGTGTCTTGTTTACCACTAATTTAATTAAATTAGCATTATATATGTAGTCCGTTGTGTCCTTTCATCCGCATCTTCAAATTTGTTATATATAAGGGTATATCAATTTATATTCCTAAAAAGTCAGCTCTTTTATTTATTTATTTATTTTTTACAAAAAAATGACACAAATATTTTGGATTGGATTATAAACAGGGTGCCCCCAAAAAAAAAAAAAAAAAAAAAAAAAAAAAAAAAAAAAAAAAAAAGAAAGAAAGAAAGAAAAGTAATTAATAAACCCTACAATAATTGTAATTTATTGTGCACGATCAATCCCAAAAGTGAAAGTAATCTTGATCACTTTGCTCCAAATGGCCTCCAAGAATTGCAAGCACATTTGCGTACACCGCAGAAAATTGTCAATTACTTGAACATATTCCTCATTCGGGATTTCCCTGATTTTTGCTGTGACTTTTCTGCAGATCAGTCTTGAAATCGCTCTCTCAGCCAGGCCATGTACTATTTTAATGTGTGTGTGTGTGTGTGGGGGGGGGGGGGCTGTCAGTGACAGTGGCGGATTTAGGATTTTTGAAAAATATATATTACAACAATATTCCCCTCTTGAAATTAGAAAATTGACCAACTAAGTCATAGTTCTAAACAGTACCAAAAGGTATTGTTTGCTCTCCAGAAAACCCCCCAAAAAATTTTGGGGGGCCCTTGAGCAGGCCCCCAGCTCCACAACAAGGGGACAATGGTCGGTCTCGCAATCGATCAACCCCTGCTTGATCTTTCCCTCCACAACATTCAACGCTGCAGTGACCATTTGGAGAACATTAAAAAAAGAACATAACTTTTATGCAAAGTAACCAAGATTACTTAAAAATTGGGGAGAGATCATCATGCACTTACTGAAATTTAAGTCCAGGAAATTTGGTGGTGATGTGATCCCCAGTACAGGTAGCCCTCTCTCCCTCTCTTGTGATCATATCTAGCTTCAAAATTGTAAAATTGCATGCTGACGTGTCTGTGGATCATGTAACATGATACATATGTAGCAGTGTGTAGTTATTATTTTACCCCCACAGATGAAGTTGTGTTTTTGTTTTTGTTTGTTATATTTGTTAATGGCTACCAAATCCTAATACATGTAAGTTGTGGACCAATTTTGATGAAAAATTCCGGTAAGATCAGAAAAGGGCCAGCTTAAAATTATTAAGATTTTGGTGAGGAAAAATTCATTGATTAATGATGAAAATTAAGGTGGCTTCCATAATAATAATAATAATAATAATAATGATAATGATGATAATTTATTAAGCCAATAAAATACAAATGTATAAAATCGGAATCTTTGTCCCTGTTGTAGCCTCATTGAAATATAAAGAATGAAACTTACATGAAGAATGAAAATTACATGTTAGAGTTGAAAATAGTTACTGCAGAAGGATAAAAGCTATTTAAAAATCGCTTACTACCCTTAAAAGCTAAGAGTCTCGAATTCCTAGGTAAAAATTTAAAAAGGGGAATGGGCTGGATGGGAACTGTCTGTCATTATTGATAATGTTTTGTTTTTAGTCCTGTCTAGATATATAGTATGGACGGGAGTTAGATCTGTTCCATTTACAATCCCTGCAGTTTCGACGATCTTTTCCAACTTGTTCTTCTCCTCCACAGTTGCACGTCCATACCAAACAGTTACTGAATAAGTTAAAATACTCTCTAAAACACACCTGTAAAAGTTTGTTAAAATAAACACATTTCTGGTAAAAGCTTTCAATTTCCTTAAGAAATACATTCGTTGACGTGCCTTTTTCAATAGCTTCGTGATGTTATCGCCCCAGGTTAACCTATTATTCAGCTGAACCCCTAGTAATTTATAATTAGAAACCTGTTCGACCACTTTACCGTTAACTTCCAAGGGATTTTTACTTATCTGATTTCTTCTGAAGTCTATGATCATTTCTTTTGTTTTGCTCACTTTTAATATCAAGTCATTGTCTATGCACCAATTTACTAAACTTGTAACCGACTGCCTGCATGGCATCTCATCATTATGGTGTATCAAGCCGACTAAAATTGTGTCATCGGCAAAGTTCATTAAAAATGTATTTTCCTCCCTCGCCACACAGTCGTTGCATCGCATTTCAAATGTAATGTTTGTTTTACATGGCTAAATAAGATATATAAACGTATATAATAACGTATATAAACAAGGTGATAAGACGCAGCCCTGGGGTGTGCCAGTGTTTAAAACTATAGTGTCCGAGAAGTTATCCCGCACGAAAATGCAGTAGTACAGAAGTAGCAAAAACGCATAAACGTATATAATAACGTATATAAACAAGGTGATAAGACGCAGTCCTGGGGTGTGCCAGTGTTTAAAACTATAGTGTCCGAGAAGTTATCCCGCACGAAAATGCAGTAGTACCGAAGTAGCAAAAACGCATTAACGCAGTAGTGGTGTGGAGCATATTTGCAGGAGAAATGCAGCATAGCCTACTGCAATTCTACTCCAAAAAGTACATAGGTTTGTACAGAGAGGAGCATTAATGCAGTAGATTAGCAGTAGATAGAAGCATGTTTCAAATATGCTATTTAGCTCCCAAATCGAAGCAGATTTGAAAAATGTTTGCAGTATGATTGCAGTAGTCTACTGCAGTTTGCAGTATGATTGCAGTAGTCTACTGCGCTGGAGTATCTACTGCGTTTTCTTGCGCGTAAAACCGACTTTTACTGACTGTTTTCTGTTTAAAAGAAAATCTAAAATCCAATCGCGGAGTGCTGGTGGAAAATTAAGAGATCTTTATTTTGTGCATGCTTTATTTCTAGTCCTTATCTGTTTTACTCTTTTCAAGTATTATTTTTTTTGTTTGGGGAGCTTCAGTTGGACAGTGAATTGTTATACGTGCTTTGCACATTCAAAAACTGATATTGTAGGATATTTCCAATAAGGCAACAAATAACCATGTACTAATTTTAATTTTACAGGCAAACATGTGATGGTAGATCGCTGTACTGACAAGTCAGAAGAGCATCCTGCAAAACGTAAGTCATCCCAGCCGTCATTTGCTCTAGTACAGACAAAACTAATCCTGTGACATTGATTAATGCTTTGCTTGCTGTTTTTTAAAAATATTTTTGAAAGGTTATGTCTCCCTTTTTATTTAACACAATATTACTTCGTGAAGGCACTTTTCATTCTTTCACAATGAATGATGAGGCTTATACCAGCCTCAAAATAAAGAAATACAATATTTTACTTGAAGTTTGATTGAAAAAATGGCACAGTGAACTTAAAAAAAAGAACTTTATCCAAAACAGAAATTACATTAAGTGATATAAGTGCTGTTTGTACTGAAGTTATAAAGTATGCGTTATATTCTTATCCAAACTTTGAAATCAAAATATCTTTGTAAAATACAGGTACTTTTCTTTTACAGGCAGCGGGCTCCATACAATCAAACCAGATCCCCTCTATCAGGTAGGTTAAATAAGATGCTTAACCTATCAGGTAGGTTAAGCATCTTACTATATTTAAATATTTGAAAATTGTTGTTAATCAGTGGTTCATGATTTCATGAAAATATCAAACTTTTGTCATCTTTACGCCATGTTCCACGATAACATATTTAATGATGATGGTTCATAAGCTTAAGTGTAGACAAACAATAATATTTGGGGTTCTTACTCAAACCTACATTACATTTGCCACGGGCGCCATCTACTCAGTACCTCCGTTGAGACGCTGTACGAAAAGGGAATTACGGGTAGTGTACGGGCACCGTACTTGCATTGCATTTCAAATGTAATGTTTGTTTTACATGGCTAAATAAGATATACCCTTGTCAAGAGTACATCTTACTATTGTAGTTCACTGGTGTTGTGCTTCTGTAGAGTTATCTTTCTCTGCTGCTTTATGAAAACACGACCTCTTATCAATTACTATTACAAGCCATGTTATATAGTGCACACAATCCATATCTATATTTAAAAACCGTATGTAACATTTCATAATAGATATTGTGAATTATGAACCGGCTTCTATATTTTTTGATTTTGTCATTTTGAGTAAGAAGTTGCTGGGTCTGATATTTTTCAGCTTTAATTGTACATTTCATTCCAGTCTCTAATATAAGCTTTAAAACCTGAATCAGTCTTCTAATTTTCAGGCACCTGTAATGAGCCCAACTCACAACAACCTGTTGTTACAAAAGCGTCCAATACTGATAAAGGACCTCCAAGTTGAGGACATCATCCCAGACATGGTAGCCAGGGGAATCCTCAGTAAACGTAATGCAGATAAGATAAAGGCTCAAAAGACGGAACAGGAACAAGCATTTGAATTTCTCTGTGTTCTACCAAAATGTGGTCCTCGTGCATTTGAAACCTTTGTTGAAGTGTTGAGAGAGCACAACAAGAAAGAACTCGCAGATTTGTTGGCAGAAAAGGCGACCACTTGTAGTAGTAAAAACCAAATAGCAAATTTCTACATGAATCACATGAGTCAGATACAGCGACTTCCCTGGGACCCCAATGACACCATGCACATGGACGATGTGTATGTTAACTTACAGTGGGTACAAGAAGAAAGCAAACCCAAGGGTGCCAATTTTAAATCAGTAAAGAGCTACACTTCAATATTTAAAGATACCAAACAAGGTAACCGACCAAAGAGAATATTGGTCAGAGGAAAAGCAGGTATAGGAAAAACCACATTTACACAGAAGATGGCAACAGACTGGGCAAATAATGCAAAGGGGTTAAAAAAATGTGAAGAAGTTTTGTCAAAATATGAATATCTTATCATATTAAATCTACGCAGCATTCAGCCGGGTCAAACACTAAAGGAAGCAATTGAAATACAAATTCCTTGCTCTGCAGAAACTGGTAGAGCAGTGGCTGAGGAAACCATGCATGCTCTGGACAATAACAGTGACCATGTGCTGTTGGTTTTTGATGGTTATGATGAATATGATCCCAAGACTTCCCAAGAAATCACAGATGTTATCAATCGTAGACGATACCAGGATGTGTGCACCGTCATCACAACACGTCCATGGAAGGCGGAAGAATTGAGGAAAAGACAAATTATGGACAGTGTGTATGAAATCACAGGGCTGACAATTGACAATATAATTCAGTATATCACAACATTTTTTGATGATAAAAAAACATATGACGAAAACAAGAAATACATTTTCATGTCTTCTGAAGAGTTTGAAAAAGAATATGCCCTGTTATATGTTACATTTCCTTTGGAGTTATTTCACAGAGTAGGGCAGGGTCTTTTACCATATCTAGAGCAAATGGGACTTATGTCCCTGGCACAGACTCCAATTCTTCTTCTATTCATCTGTCTTATGTGGGAAGATATGAAAAGTGATTCAAGCACAAGTTCGCTCCCCGGTTCATACACACTGCTTTACGAGAAGCTAATCGAGTTGCTCATGAGTCGAAGATATAACAGCAGGACAAAGAATGAAGTTAAGGAATATCTGGGGAAATTCGAACAAACATTTTTCAATCTTGGTAAACTGGCTCTAGAAGGTCTTCTTAAGCCAGTGGGTGGTCTGCTGTTTGATGAAGAAGACCTGCAATCGATTCCAAACATGAGTGAGTTGTACAGTTTAGGCCTCCTCAGCAGATCCAAGGTGCACTGTAACCTTTATGTTAAACATGAAGTAACATTTCTTCATAAAACCATTCAAGAGTTATTTGCTGCAAAATACCTTGCTGGGACAATAGATGAAAATGATAATGCTTTAGATGAATTTTTGGGATGGTTAAACACCCTTGACAGGCTCTATGACATGGAGTATGTGCTGCGCTTCTTATGTGGATTATCAGAGCAGGCGATTGCCAAAGTGCGACCTAGAGTTCAAGAGCTGGCAAAGATGGATGCAACTCTAAAACACATTTATTCTTCAAATTCCTCAAATACTGAAGTTGAAACCATTTCTTTATTTAACAAACTAGCCTGTCCACGGAGGTTTCTCTTTGATAGTGATATTTCTGACTGGTACATACGACATTTTAACAACCTCCTCCTAGAACACTGGTATGCCCACTGTACCCAGGAAAGTGATTTGACTCCTGAGCTTGCCCCCTGGCACACCATACTCAGCATACCATACTCATTTAAACACTCTGATCCCAGATTTCAGGAGGTCTTGGAAAACAGTTTACGCAGTAATAAACAGATATGGAAAAATGTATTCCAAGATGCCAATACTGTCATTTTTGACTACGCATCAGATGCAGAGGAATATCAGATGTTTGGACTTATATATGAGGATGAAGACAGTACAGTAGATGCAGTGATTACCTTACTAATGATGTGTGAAAATTTCAAGAATCTTTCACTTGTATTTTGGGCTGATAGAGAAAAAGGGCCTAGCACCAACGATGTCTTCAAACGTGTGTTGTCCAATGCGCCCAACTTAAACACACTTTGTATCAGTAGTATTGAAGATGATAGTCCATACGAAGATGTATCCTCAATACAAAATCCTGCAAAATTGTGTCATCTGATTGTGCGTATCTACGATAACAGAAGTGAAGCACCAATATCAGTAGACACTCAGATTCTTAGGCAGATGTCAGCATTGAAGCATTTACATATAGAACGTGATGGAAAGAGTACTAGAAATAACACCTTGATATTTGACTTAGGGGGCCAGCTTCAGTTAAGCCATGGTTTGACGTACATAGTGATTAGGAACTTTTCCCTTACTGCTGAGCGGGTCAAGATACTGGGGGAGAACCTGCATCATGTGCCAGGACTGGAACAATTAAAACTGGATGGCGTATTTGATTGGATACATACGGATATCACCAGAAAATTTTGGTTCCCCCTCTGGGGGTGGACCTTATATAACTTACATGAAGGTTGTCCATATGATGATCGGGAAAGAGGCCATCGTTGCCCGGGTGTTTGTGAAGCCATGCTTGAACTGAGCAAAGGTGTGGCACACACCCCTAAGTTGAAACATTTCTCATTCAGCATGAATCGGTTGGGTTTGTACTGTGGTATCGCCAGTCCACTCACAGCATTGGTACAGTCTCTCTGTACAGTGTCAGAGCAGAATGGTATGAAGATTGCCTTATATGGTAATGATGTACACAAAGTTGACGGCCTCAGGGAGCAGATAGTGAGCATTAGCAGTTCTTACCAGCACGTAATCGTGGCTTTCAATTCATTTGTGCCCTTTCTGTTTTTTTAAAGCAACAGTTGCCTTCAGCCAGGAACTATGAACCTAAGATGATAACAAACTCATAGAGATCGCATGTAGAGTGGTGTAATAATATATGTATATAGTGTACAATGAAAGCGAGGGGCGGTCTCAGGGAGAAGATAGAGAGCATTGTTTCTTACCAGCACATGACCTTGACTCTTTGAAAACTGCTTTTGAAAAGTAATCTGATGGATTGATATCTTACACGGTGTATATAGCCATAAGATTCCTATGGTCGAAATACAGTCTTAAAGCGCTTGAAGAGACAATAACTCTTCGTTTTGGCCAAAAAATGAATTTTCCTGGAGTAAAAAACAATTTTCCCATACTAACCAATGATTAATGAATCCATTTTTACATTCAAAGTTAGTCTCTGGTTTTTTTCTAAAAAGGTTTTTTTTGTTAAAATATCTTAATAAATTAAACAGAGCATAGCCGTCAATGGAGATCAAGTGGTCTGAAGACAAGCTCAGATATCAAAATAAAAGCTATAACTGCGGTTTTTGCGGTAAAACAATATATTATAAGCAGTATATAATGGAACGCACATGCTGCTATTTTGAGGCGCCATATACTTTTAATGCAGCTTTTTAGAGCGTATTTGACAAGCAAAGGGTTGGAAGGTTTAAATCTTTTTGTTTTGCTGAAAAATTCCAGAGTTATTTTATTTTGCCAACGACTGTAGAGTTGAAACGGTGTATTATATAACTATTTTAATATTTGTTATTAAAATAAAGAAAAAAACTGCAAAGTCATATCATTTCTGTTGCGTACAAATACCCCATTTCTCGGCAAACTGTTTTGTAGCCACAGTGTTTGACATTAGCGCATCTGCACTAAACCTGAGGGGTGTAAATGACCACTGGGGATTGGAATACGATGAACAATGGGTTGAAATAGACCAAAGGTGGTCACTGTCTTATCGTTGAGTCTCGGATTTGGATTTTTTTCTTTATATAAAGGCCAAGTTTAAAATGTTTTATTATATAATTATTTGAAGAAAAACTCCAAAGTCATCATGTTTTGCTGAAAGAATTGCAGAGACATTTTATTTGCCAAAGATTCGCATTGTCTTATAGTTGCTATAATTCACTTCAAACATCAGTTCCCACTGCACCAGTGTTATGTGCTGTGCTTGAAACATCCTGTAGGTAATTTTAATTACGACAGTTCTGAGTAACGAGGTCTAAGGAATCTATTGCTCACTACTGTTTTTATCTTGTACGCTACTACGACAAGTCCTCGGCTGATCAAAGCTCCTACGGTGCTAGTTTAACCCCACAGAATCATGTATGATTTAATTTATTTCAAAGTCTAGGTTCCACACAAGTAATTGTACTGCGTGTAATATATATCTTATAAGTGTGATCTACTCTTGAATTAAGTTTTGCTGATCTTCACAACAAACAGTAAAGTACGCACTCGTCCCCTGCACGTACTGGCACTATGCTTAAAACGCCCAGAATCACTGATGTGTAACAAGTAGAATATTTTGGAATTATGAAAATTCTTTGCATGGAAATAATCAGACACGTCTGGATATCATATATTTGTCAAGCGGATTTGCAAATGTACAGAATAAATTAGTGTCTGGTATACACACGTCTGTCAAGTGGATTTGCACATATCAAAAGTATTTAGTGTTGAGGTGAAATGAATACTGTATTTGAACGGACAAAGCAGTCAGCTGGTATACTGCTGTTTAAAGGGATAATAACTCTTCGTATGAGATCTATATTTCACAATAAAAACCTTGTGAATAACTCATAGAAATATAATATATTCTGTTTTACCACAAAAACAGCAGTTATAGCTTTTATTCTCATATCTGAACTTGTCTTTAGACCACGTGACCTCCATTGATGTCTATACTCTGTTAAAATCTCTTAAGAGATTTTAACAAAAAACCAAACTTTTTAGAAAAAAAAACAGGGACTAACTTTGAATGTAAAAATGGATTCATTATAACCATTGGTAAGTATGGGAAAATTGTTGTTTACTCCAGGAAAATTCATTTTTTGGCCGAAACGAAGAGTTATTATTGCTTTAACAATAATGAATGGCGAAATTTGTTTATTGACAAGGTAGAACACGGACGTTTTTTACAATGTCATCACATCTTACTGACACTCACGCAATGCATTATTTTTACTGACCATTTGGTCGTTCTTTTGCATCAATAAATCAGCTTATGGTTATTTATTTCAATATTTGTATGTTTAATAAGAACATATTTATAAAACTGCACAAGTCACTGTCAACTGCACCATAGCTTGACTTTTATGGACAGCAACTACGCGTCACAATATACTTTACAACAACAACAATATTTTTTCTGCGAAAGGAATTTTATTCTGCTCACACGTAATACAACGAGTTGGATATGCGACCACAGTGTCTCCTGCTCTGTCTACCTTCGGTCGCTCCTTTGAATGGCTCTGTTAGTCCTACACGTCTACTTTCCCGACTATGAATGCGGCAGAACGCTACATTTTCATAATAACAAAATTAGGGTGACAGGTGGTTCATAACTCACGCTATGGGTACAAGTTTTGATCAACATGTGCTTCATTATTAGAAACACTAATTCTCCACCTTCGACTGATAATTGGGATTTTCCCTGTTCTTTGATTATCAGTATACATTTTACAAAAAAAAAAAAAAAAAAAAGTCATTT